CATGCGCCGGCCGCCATCTTCCTCTCCCGCCTAGGCGCGCCGCAGGCAGCATGGGCCACCAGCAGCTCTACTGGAGCCACCCCAGGAAGTTCGGCCAGGGCTCCCGCTCCTGGTCGGTGCCCGCCGCGGGGGCCGTCTGGGCGGCTGTCGGGCCCCCTGGGCCGCGGCATCCCCCTCGCTCCGTGTCCCCTCTCCCCCCTACCCCGCGCCGCCATTACCCGCCCTGACCGGCCTTGCTCTCTTCTCCCCTCACAGCCGCGTCTGCTCCAACCGCCACGGCCTCATCCGCAAGTACGGCCTGAACATGTGCCGGCAGTGCTTCCGCCAGTACGCCAAGGACATCGGCTTCATTAAGGTGAGCGCCGGCCCCAGGGCTGCGCGGGAGGGGCGGCTGTGCCCTTCCCCGCTGACGCCTCTCGCCTTTCTCCTTCTCTTGCAGCTGGACTGAGCACCGGGAGGATGAGGCTGTCGCCAGCAGTTCCCGGGGCCTCCCCGACGCATCGGCAGCATCTCGGCGCAGCCCTATTTAATAAATAGTCTCCCTACCCGACTGACCTGCGTGCGTTTGCCTTTTGTAAAGGTTGCAGTGGCTGTGGGGCTTCCCCTTCCTCACGGCGCTGCTGGAGGGGTGGGTGCTGCGCTGGGGACAGGCCCAAACAAGCCTGCCCTGGTGTCCTTAGCTTTCCCACACAGAACCAGGCGGTTTCAAGAGCGCTGATGCTTGTACCATGCCACAGCCTTCAGGTTTGCAAGCAGGGCGGTAGAATGGTCCGTGTAAAATGGCGGTGAATGGCTGGCCAGCCTGCTGGTGTGCAGCTGCCAGTAATGCCGGGCTTGCTCGGCTTAGATCCTGGCAAACTGCACCTGCGGACAGAAAATGGTGATGTTGCAACGTGTCTGCGGTGCAGGGCTGTACCCAGGATTTCATGCCCAAGCCTTCCTCACTTGTGAGGCAGTCTAGTGCTTCTAGGGAAGCCGTGGGGAAAGTTAACTGATGTCAAAACCAGACAAGGTGACAGCATCCTGAGCCAGTGCAGCCTCTGGACAGCGCAGCTGCCTGCTGAGCCCACGTGGGATGTGCCGTGCAGCTCGAACCTCCTCCCTTCCCCTGAAGGTGAACTAATACGGTTGGAGCCCCACAGCCCTTCCGCTCCATCTGGCGTTTTCTGAGGTTTCCACCCACTTCAGGGCTGTGGTATGAGAGGACTGCAGGGCGCTGGGCAAGGGCACGCTTGTCAGGTGTGCCAAAGGCCTGCAGCAAGTTCCCTCTGAGGGATTAAAGGTGGTGGGGTGCTGTCCTGCCCTTCAGGCTGGTTTTGGGGCAGCTGTGCTGAAACCGCGCTGCCCTGTGAGATTGCTGATGAGATGAAGGCTTTGCTGGTGGCTGAAATGGCAAATGGGCGGATTCCCCTCCAGCTGAGTGCTCTGCCTCCAGTCTGGGAATCCCCAATAGGGTTTTTTTTTTTTCCCACTGGTTATTGAACGAAACCGAACGAGATGGGGTGGTGTTGAGGAGGGAATGGGGACAAACCCAGACGCTGGCCTGGTGGCTGGAGCGTTTCTTCCGTGCGGTGGTAAGGCCTCCCTCCTGCCGCAGAGAGGGCACTGTCCCCTCGGCCTCGGCGAGTGCCTCCCTGTCACGGAGCCCGTTCTGGTTTCTGCGGTGACGGAAGCAGGGATGTGATGGATCCTGCGGGCGGGAGCTCGGCATGAGCTGCCAGAAGCAGGCAGGCGTGCCTGATGTCGCAGCTTTTGGCTGTCGGTGAGCTTCCCGTGCGGAAGCCCCGGGGATGTGCCGCAGCTGAGCAGGGATGCGAGGTGTGCTTGCAGCAAGAGCTGAAGGGCTGTGGGGACAACGCCGCGGGCTGGCAGCCACGGCACCGGGCTTGGCGAGCCACTTTTTCCCCAGCCGGCTGGGTGAACTCGCGCTGAGCCGTGTGCTGCTGTGGTCAGTCAGCAATTATCTGAAACTAATTTAATGAAACTTGGAAAAAGACTTGCGAAGTAACACAAAACAAATGTGAAAATGTGAGTTCAAGCAGCAGCTGGGTTAATGCCCACCTCTGGGGGAAAAGGTTATTCTCATCCGAAGAGCTGCTGCCGTGGCTTCATTGCGAGGGGACCAAACTTGCAGCTACAGGGAAAGAATGGCTAATCCTGGGATACTAAATAGGATAAATTAGTTAAAGGCTGATACAGAAATTAAAAGGTAACTGTATGGGGCTGTCTTGCTCAGAGGGTTTCCATCTTCCCTTTGCCTTGAGGTAATGACGTTAGCCTGAACAGATTCCTGCAAGGCTTTCTGCGTTCTGACAACGCACCGGGTCTCAAAACGCCCTCGTGCGCGGCAGCGCCGGGCAGCCGCGGCGTGCCTGCCGTAGCCTGGGAGGGTGACGGCGAGCAAGCGGTTCCTGTCGGCTGCTCTTGCGGCCTGAGGCGGCCCGGTGTGGCGCACGGGTGCAGGCTTGGGGTGGCTGGGGGGCTCTGGCTGGGGCAGGGCAAGCTCTGCTGCAGCTGGAGGATGCTGGCGGGCCTGCCTCTCTGAGAAACGGTTAAAGCCCTGGTTCCTATCTGGAAACTCTTCAGTGTAAAGGTGAGCTTCTACACTAAATAAATAAATAAACCATTTAGTTCCTCTGGTGATTATTTTTTTTTTTTTTCCAGTTTCTGCTGATGTGCAGAGTTGAATCCAATGGGGTGCATCTGTTTGGCTTCAGCGTGACTCTGAAAAATCAGAAAATGCCAATTGCCTTTCTAACCAATTACTGAATTTCTTGTGTTAGGGGGATTCTTAGTGGAGAAGAGTAAGTCTTTTGTTCTTAAGCATTATTTTAACCCATGCTACAAGCAGAAAGATTCTTTTTCAAGAAAGCGAGTAAACCAGTCACCTTTGTCTGCTGCTGGCTGCTCCTGATCCCCAGCAGAGGCCGGGGAGCTGCGGTGCAAAAGCTGGTTTCTCAGCAGCTGATGTGAATCACCGTGAATGCTGCTGGGGAGCTGCAGAGGAGCTGGCAGCACTCGCTTAAGCTCTTGCTTGGGCTCCGCGGACAAGGTTAACTGGGCAGAAGCCTGAAACACAAGGAGTGGATGCGATGCCGGCTTTGTGTTGGAGAGCTTTCAGCTGCTTTTCCTCTGACACTGGGGAGAAATGGGAAGAATCGTGCCAAGGGTTTGCGTTGGAGATGGTAGGTCACTGCGCTTGCCAACGCCTGAACCTGCTAACCAGTCGTGCCTCTTCTTACTATGAAAGATACTTCTCATTTTTGCTCCACGCCCTTTTCGTATACCTCTTAATGACTGACTGTAGCATAAAATTTCAGAAACACAAAATGGGTAAAGATACAAAATAGTGTGGCCAGCAGGAGCAGGGAGGTGATGGTGCCCCTGCGCTGGGCACTGGTGAGGCCGCCCCTCGAATCCTGTGCTCAGCGCTGGGCCCCTCAGCCCAAGGCGGCCATGGAGGGGCTGGAGCGTGGCCAGAGCAGGGCAGCGAGGCTGGGGCAGGGGCTGGAGCCCAAGGCTGGGGAGGAGCGGCTGGGGGAGCTGGGGGGGCTCAGCCTGGAGAAGAGGAGGCTGAGGGGAGCCCTCATCGCTCTCTGCAACTGCCTGAAAGGAGGCTGGAGCCGGGGGGGTCGGTCTCTTCTCCCCAGTAACAAGCGATGGGACGAGAGGGAACGGCCTCAAGCTGCGCCAGGGGAGATTTAGATTAGGTATTAGGAAAAACTTCTTCACCGAAAGGGTGGTCAAGCACTGGCACAGGCTGCCCAGGGCAGGGGCTGAGTCTTCATCCCTGGAGGTATTTAAAGAACGGATAGACGTGGT